AAGATATTCCAAAGAGCAGGGGCTACAGCAGAGAAGGCCCGCCTTCTTGAACCCCCTAGTCGGGGCTCTTTTGCTGGGGGGGTCCAGAGCATGCCCTCTCTGTGTGATCGGGCAGGACGGGTTGAAGTCATGGGGAAGAGGCGGTCCCTCAGGTAACCTGGTCCCATGCCATGTAGGGCTTTAAAGGTGATAACCAAGACCTTGAATTGGACCCAGAAGCAAACCGGTACCCAATGCAGCTTGCGGAGCAACGGTGTTATGTGGGTCCTTCTTTGGGCACCAAAAATAGCTCACGTGGCTGCATTCTGGACCAGCTTTTAACCAATTAACCAGTTAGATTATCCTGGAAAAGTAGATAGCTAAGAAGAATTACTTTTATCTTCTGGGATCAAAATATTAATTGATACTCTATCTTGAGATTACCTCCTGTAATATTCAGGCTCTTACTCTTAAGTTGTCAGGCTCTGGGAAGGCCTTGTGTTGCTCTCTCTGCTTGCCCCCCGCTCTCCACTTCCAAGCCCCTGAGACACGCGTGCGTAGGGTTTATGACTGCTGCAGCTGAATCCGGGTAGACTGACCAAGAGCAGAGGAGGGCTGGCTCTGGCACCTGTATCATTGGCTCCAAGTAACCTCTTCACTTGAGCTGCTTAGATTGGTTTCAGGGTGCCTCAATGCTGCTGCATTTAAAAGGATATGCGCAGGGACCTCGAATGAGGAGACTGCTGATCCCTTTGAGCCATCTTTCTTTATCCTAAACAGCAACTGCTCTTTTCGGAGTTTTAACAGTTTGAATGGAGCGGAATGAATGAAGAAATGAACTTTTGAGCCCCTTTTCCGTGGCACTGAGTCAGAGCAGGGAGCCTTCAAAGACAGAAAGTTTCCTATTTGATGAAGGCAGAGTTTGCAGAAGAGTGGTGAGAAACAGAACCACTGCTTCTTCCCTCTCTCCCCACTCCACTGCTCTCTAGAGCAGCAAGCAACCATCAACATTTTATGGCCCATTTTATTCAACTATCTGGAATGTCAAGAGCCACAGCTGAGCCTTTAAACAATTTTGGCATTTTGATGTGAGACTGAAAATGACACTTTTCAGGCTGCTTGTAGTCAGAGCAACTCCACCTGACACCTGATAGAAGATCGCTGCTGTGAGGCAGCAAATGGAGCCATTATTGGGGGTCCCAGATTCAGATCATATCTGCTACCTCATGAGATTTTAGTGCAGGGAGAGTAGCCGTATCTGAGTTTTACTGTGCCCGTATGTAATCTGGGTGCCCCAAAGGCTTGGGGTGGTCCTCCAAACCCCTCTGCCATCACATTGTGATGTTTAGCCAAATTGAAGAGGAAAATATTAAACACAGAGAGTTCTCAATTAAGCCAAACTTGAGTTTTAGCAACACCATGCCCACTTTTGGAAGTGTGAGCCTTGTCATGCTGTCCAAAGACTGTGTGGACCTCAGCTGGGGAAGGACCGTACATCTCCATGTCAGAGGGAAAGATGGCAGGCAGAAGGGCGCACAGAAACCCCGAGAGTGACACAGCGGGCTGCTGGGTGGGTGAACAGTCCTTTGCTTTGCTTTGGTGCTCAGCAGCTTGCAAAAAAGACGGGTCTAGGAATTTCTGCCTCATTACTGGTGATGCCATCTTCTCACAACAAGGAGTTCTTTTGGTGGCTTATCAAAAGCAAAACACTGCACAGAGCACAGCTGTAGCAGTACAGCATGTGATATGTGATCCCCCATTGCAGCCCAGTGGAACAGGATGCCTCAGGATGTCCAAGAAACAATAAGATTTGAAGTACATCCTGTAAAAACCCTATGGGATGCAAGAACATTCCTCAAGAAGCAAAGTTAACTCCTGAAGATATAACACATATGAAAACATTGTTTAGCTTACATTTTGAAAATACTTCTATAGTTCTGTACTTTGCTTTCCCTGCTTCTCATCCCACAAGGCCCCTCCCCTCTCTTAGCTTCATCTTTTGCGAAGTTCCATGTAGGTTTTATTTGAGTTGAGAAGAAATCTCGCCCCTTTCTTTGCACTCCCATTGGTCAAGGCCCATCTCTGAAATAACGCCTCTTTTGTCTTCTCTTCTTCTGTAGGATGTCTCTCCAGAGCAGCTGAGAAATGAACTACCTGAGCGCCAGCCCCGATATCCTAGAGCTGTGGGGAGGGAATCTAGTTTCATCTTCTAGGTCCTTCTGCATCTGCCCATATCTTTAAGTGGCTCTGCGTTTTTCTGTTGCTGTCAGGACAGACAAGAGGAAGTCTTCCCTCACCTAAGGCGTAATCAGTTTATGAAATTTGCTCTCACAAGATGGTAGAATATTAGATGATTCTGCAAGTTAATTAGCCAAGTTTTATCCAGGGCTAATTGCTATAATGGTTAAAGGACATTTGATGGGGAAGTCACTGCATCAGACAAATATTGCTCTCCAGCTCTGCATGAACATTTCTCAGGAACATCTAGCTGACCACCCAGAAAGCAGTGTGCATAACTAAATAGGTCTTTGATCTGACCAGCAGCCAGACCCTTCTTACTTAGGCTTTTTTTTTCAGCTGCCAGATTTGGGCTGTATACATCTGGATGACCACTAGATGGCAACAAAGAATTATCAGAGTTTTCTGTATTTCTGCGCTGCTATCTAATGATCACCCAGAAGCTTGCAGCCCAGATCTGGTTGCCCTATTTCTACTTAGGTCCTACGTCAGTCACTGCTGGACATAAAGCAAACAGTGTTGGCTGTCCACTGAGTCACAAAAGAATAGCAACATAAACTGGCAAACTCTATTCCACTGTCCCTTAGCCATACATCCAGGATAAAAGAACACAGGAATGAACAGCGTTGCCAAAGGCATTGATGCTGTTCACATAATGGGGAGAGAATTAAAGCAGCCGCACAAGGTGAATGGCTCAAAAGAGAAATTTATCCTCCATTCCTTAAGTTTTCAAGCAACTGGAAGAGAGTATAGGCTAGGCTGCAAATGAATGAAAGGTGTTTTTGACCAGGAAGCCCAGTCCTGGGCATCTTAGGACTGCTTTGTGTATGTTGTAGAGGCAAGGCCAGGTTTACGAAGGCTCTATACCTAAAAGGAAGCACACCAGAAAAAACTCGAAATTAAATCATGAAAATCCATCAGAGAAAGGACGAAACAGGTCTCTGTAGATAGTTCTAGAGCCTAGGCATAAGCTCGGAAGAAGCTCTCTTCAGAGTCCCTGTCCTAACTTGCTTGAAATTTCCTGTTGTTTCCTTGACTGTCCATGTGTGTCTACATTTGTTGTCTACAGCTATAAATATGTCCACAGTGATGGGCGGATCTCTTACCCGCTTTGTTTCATCTTTTCCAGTCCAGCTGGTAAGAATCACTAACCAACACAACCAGGGTAGTTTAAGGGGCTGGTTTCAGTGGAGTTGGGTTTGATTCCTTATAGGAATAAATGCAAACCTTTGAAGGTGGTTGTAGGAAGAGTGCAAGATTTGATTCTGAGTGGGCGTAGCAGCAGTTTTCCCTAATCCTGTGTAGTTTCCTGTTGGCGCCTTTTTGTTCTAAGGAGAGAATACAGTGGTCCAGCATCTATGTGACTTGAGTTTGCCCAGTTCGAGGGAGGACTTCTCTCCCTACTTTGAAAGACATTCCAAAGGAGATGATGAATGCTAATTGCAAATAAACAGTTCTCCCCTCTTCCTTCCGCCCAGGGTGCAAGCCAGAGCAGCAGATGATGTATGCCGGGAGCAAAAACAGGCTGGTGCAGGCAGCTGAGCTCACAAAGGTATTTAATCCTGGTTTTGCTGCTTACGGTTCTGCCAAAACCTTTGACTCTTTTGGCTTTTGGAACTTGTGCTATCTCATTCTACCTTCTCTATGCAAAGAGTAAGGTCGCTTGGCTGCAGGTCCGTAGAATATAGATTACCAAGATTCCACTGACGTTGTGCTGCCGATTGCTGTGTTATTTTACAGTATTGGTGAGAATTGGTTTTGAATTTATTTTGTCTTGCATTTTATTTTAATTTGCAAAATGTTCCATTTATATGTAGTACAGAGTGGAGTCATATATACCGTATTGAATTATTAACAACAGTGGCAATTCTCTGTTCGCCAGGTCTTTGAGATCCGATCCACAGAAGAGCTGACGGAGCAGTGGCTGAAAGAACGCCTGGCTTTTTTCCGTTAGCTGCTGGTCAATCCAGGAGGGCTGAGCCTTCACTTAAATCCCAGCCTCCAATAGATTCTGCCACTCTCCCTCTGGAGACACCGCCACATGATGCGTATAACAGAAGCTGCCTCTCCATCACCACTGTTTGCACCACCAGCTTTTGGCTAGTAGCGAAAATGTCTGAAAATAAAAGAGAGTGACTGATTCTAGTTTTTCCTCTCTGAAGCATTGCGCTGAACTTGTCCCCTTCGGGCTTGATTTAAGTTTCCAGGGACCACCATCTGGGTTGCCACTCTTGCAGATGAAGGGGAACTCTTTCTGACCCAGGAAGACCAAGCTGATCTCTTTTCCCCGTAGTGCAGCCTTTCACCAGCTGATGGCACCTTCTGCCCATTGGAAGGGCTCTGGCAAGGTAGAGTGGACACCTAGTTCTATATTGGGGTGACCAGCTTTTCAGAGTCTTTTAATTTGGGATGCAGGACTGAGCGAGGAATTCCTGCAAGTGCAGCTTTTCAAAGCATTCCAGATATGACACAGAAGCTACGCACTTGCTGAATTCTCTCAGCAGACCTGTCGGATTGCCACGGTTGCCTCAGAAATAGCAAGATGGCGAAGAGCTACTCTGAGGGGGAAAAGGGCCCTGGCTGTGTTGTACAACACACCGAAGCAGGGCACTTACCAACTTAGTGACAAAAGAGAGTGACTGAATCTAGTTTTTAGCATTTTGTATGCTAAGCCAAACTTCTGATCAATTTGTAGGTCAACATATTGTGCAAACTAAGAAAATGGATTCATTCAGCAGTTTGGTTAAAGCAAGGAATCTCAAACCTTCTGATACTGCGATGCCCTAAAATGACAAATGTGTGCGAACTTCATGAACAAAGCTAAATAGAAAATCAATAACACATAAAACTGCTGTGATTGGGGGGGCGGTTTGGAGAGATGGCTGAACTCACAAGTGCAGATGGAACTCGTGCAAGGCTTGGTCCCCACTTAGCTTGCACAAGCCTGTCGAGGAAGCAAGTTTTGATAGCACTCCTACATTGCCTGATCAGCTGTAACAAAACTTCATGACATCCCCCCCCCCCTTCTAAGTTGTACACAAGCCCCAGGGGTAATCACAACCCCTAGTTTCAGAGCCTTTGGGTTAAAGGCTAAGCCAATTCGTGAAGAAGCAGACAAATATGTACAGGATCTTAACCTTGATGGCTGAACCGATACAGGCATTTATTCTGATGGGAAATATGGATTTCTTGTAAGCCTTGAGAGACATCTACTTCCTGGAGACAGAAATTGGAAAAGGGACTTAAAAAGGTGAAAGAAAGTTTGAGGAGGAAGATTTTATGGAGCAGTGTTAGATTGGTGAGAGTTATTAAAGTATAGTGGTAAAGGCTGGATAGAGATGATCCCCAGCAGAAAAATGCTGCATCCTCTATCATCCTCCGGAGTCTTCACTGAGGGGTGGGAAGAATCCCCAGGGCATTCGTATCCTCCGGAGACTCGGGCTAATTATTGCCTCATTTATAGAGGGAGTGGGTTTCTCTCCATCTCCCTGCCAGATTAATCTGAGGAGCGATTATTAAAACGGCCTGGCCTGGAAATTGGTTTTGCTGATTGGAAAGACAAAGGGGGCAGGGAAGAAGAGAAAATGTGTCTCGGTGATGGAAATGGGTAACTCAATGTCCTGGTCCGGTGTGGGAAGGGAGGGAAATCTGGGTAGGAAACTCGTGCACGAGAAATTTGCCCAAGGTTTATGAACGATACCATGCAGACAATCCTGAAACACGTTTTCTCTACAAAGTGAGTTTGTATATCTCAGAAGCATGGAAGAAAGTTCTTTAAACGTCGCTTGTTTGGCAAAACGGAAGATTATGAGAAAGATCGGGGCCACAGGGCTAGGCCCATCCCAGCTTATTTACTTTAGGGCTGGCTGAAGCGTCAGGCTGCAGCTGGCTAATCTACCTATTCAACCTTATAACATGCAATATCTTGTTTCCAGTCTAGGAAATAAATTCTCATAGGATAAGTGCTGTTTATATGCCCAAAAAGGCTTGCGCAAATATCCCAAAATGCCTTAAACCCCGCACTCCAGAAATGGTGGAGACGTAGTTTTGCTCTTCGGATGCTTATGTTGCTGTATCACCGTGGCCGCAGAGGTGCTTCTGCCTGTCGGTTGAAAACTCTGATTCTTCAGTCAGAGGCTGAAGAAAGCAGCTCTTGTCCTCTTGCCCATGGAAGGCAGGATCTTCCCTCCCTCTAACTTCAGGGATGCCAGCTCAAATCAAGGTGCTGTCATCTCCTGTGGATCTGGGGCAGCAGCTATCACATAAGCGTGAGACAGATGTGCACGTCTCACATCTCAAGCTGGGTTACGAAGCAGAGGCGTTCTGGGGTCCAGGAAGGTCTCCCAGGGGAATGGAGTGCTTTGCTTTACGCCGCAGTCTCTGTGCCTTTCCCGCCCAGGGGTCCTCCAGATGTGCTGGACTTCGACTCCCACAACCCCGTGGTCTGGGTGGCCGTTGAGGACGAGGGCTGGGCAAATGGGAGAGGAATACAGCGTAGCCGTTGGCCGCTGACTGGCAAAGGCTGCCCAGGGAGTCCTTCCTCTGGCCTTTGGTGCCAGGCCTCCCATCTTTTGACACACACACACCCCCCAGATGAGCAGACTGCCCATGGCGAGTCATCATGGTTACCCTGTTCAGTGGAAGGAGTTTGCCTCTGGATGCCAGCTGCTGGCGACCAAGCGGGCAAGGCTATCCCTGAATTCAAGCAGCGCCCTTGTGGACTTCCCACCGCCCTCGAGCTGGCCTTCCCAGGAGGGGGGTTGCCAGGGACTCCTTTTGTCCTTAAAAACTTCTCTCCAGAGTTTAGCACCGCAGCTCTTTGCCCCAAGCGCAGAGGCGGCGACTAACCGAGGTGGCTTTCGAAACGGCCGACTCGAGCGGGCTGCGGCTGTCAGCGGCTCCGTCTCCTTGCATGCAGGCAAAACGAGGAGCCTTGAGCATTTCTGGGAGGCGGGCAGCAGCCTGCAGAGGGCCTGCGCTGGGAAAAGGCTCCCCTCCCC